TTTAACTACTGTAAATTTTAACACATTTGTGCTGACACTATTAAAAAAAGAATTCTTTAGAAATGATTACTTATGCTTTTTTTTATAAAAATATTTTTAAAAAAGGGGGGATTTAATGTAACTATTATTTGAGCTCACTTATTTTTATAGTTTTTTAGGAGAAACTTATTTTCGTGCCTACATATAGAAATCAGTTTCGATTTTTTGTTTAACAAACATTCTTGGTTTGCATGTGTAGTTATTTGAAATTTTTCTTGTAGACATAGCATGCATTTTTTGGAAATATTGTTGTATGCAGGCGCTGTTTTAAGGATGGACCAATTCAGTATAAAATCATCAATATTTTCATCTTTTAGTTCCCATATATATTTGACAGCATGGTGTCTTTTGAATACTTTTTATTTTTAAAAGATTGCTTATGATTGGCTAAACGTTTTTTCCATTCACCTTCTGTTATGTCAATATATTGTTTATCAGGTACATTCTTAGAGGAGACAACACATTTATATACCACATTTTTGATAAGCAACTTCCACTCATTGGACAATTGTTTTTTTGTTTACAATTACAATTTTCTGTAGTTTTATCATTTTGGATTTCTTTTTTGTTTAACAAAGCATTGTTGTGACTTTTTATAATTCTTTCCATATTTTTTGTGCAACTGTAGCTAACTTTAATAGTATTTCGATTAAAAATTTTATGTAATTTATTAGAGGGCGGGAAATGCTTATCGATCAATTTTAAAAACACTTTTCCTATGTTTGTGGAAACATTTTTGCTATATGGGGGGTTGAACCAAATTACATTTCTAGTTCTATTTTGCTTTTTTGTATTCTTTTTTTCAGGGTCAAATTTTAATTCAAAGTTTTCAAAACCACTTCTTTTAAGGGCATCTTCAAATATCTGTTTGGAGGAATTGAATACATTTTCATTAGAGGAGTTTTGGTATAACCTGTTATTAATTTAAATCGGGATTTATTTTAGAATTTGTGGTGGATGATTTGAGTTAATATTAATATACAATAATTCATCGTTTGGTTTTTTGAAAGGCTTATATGCATTTTCAGAGAGTTTAAATGTGGCATCAAGAAAGTTCACAATTTTTAAATTTATGTTTATTTCGATTTGGAAGTCAATATTTTAAACAATTTTTATAATATCTTTTCGAGTCTTATCGAGCTGTGGACCAGATTTTTACTATTAAACGCATTACTATTAAACCATCGTTGCGATAAAGGCCTAAATCATTTATACTGATTATTTTACTTAATAAATCTAAAATGTATAATCCAACAAACTCACAAGTTTCTGCTCCGTCATAACTGCCCATTGTCACATCAAAGCAGGCGTGTATGTTTTTCTTTTTCCAAGTTTTCTTATTAAAGTAAAGTAAGGTTTTTCTACAATGTTTTATTATACGGATTGTTTCTTCAGGAATAGCTGGGTGGCTTTTTGCAAATTCGATTGTTTTATTTAAAATATCTGCAGTTGTTGAAGGGTAAAAATCATTAATGTCATATTGAATAAATGTACAGTCATCTTTATTTTCGATTATGGAGAACCAATTTATAACATCAGCGGTATTTTTCCACTGTTGCAAATTTAATTTATTTCTAAGAATAATATTAATATTGTCCAATTTAATTTTGCTTTCATGTCCAATCTCACTTTTTAAGGGAACCAATAACCTACAAGGAAGTTTGTTTTGAAAGTTTGTTTTATGGTCTTTTAGTGTTACAAAGGCTTGGGCAGGGGCAGTATATTCGATTCTGTTATCAAGGTTTATTTTTTTAGCAATACTTTTGGCTTTTAAATTAATTGCGTTTTCCTAAAACTTTGTTTTTCCTAAAGCCCCTAAAAATTTGGAAAACGCAATTGATTTAGAAGCACAAAGTATTGCTAAAAAAATAAACCAATATTTCCCTAATCATATTTCCCTAATCTACCAATAAATAGGGTAGATTAGGGAAATATGAGCACCTTGGTAATATGAGCATACTTAAAGATTTATTAGATGTAAGCAGTGAAGTTAAAGTTGCTTTATGTTTTTCGAATCGACTTTATGTGGTGATAACAGGAATCAGTACAATTAGCGTAAATTTATACGCAGTAATTAGCGGATATCATTTATTTAAAACGCTTTAAAAAAATCATCACGCGTAAATAATTTTGTGGCGCGATATTTTGGTGCTAAAATAATGAAATTAATTTTTTCATAAAGAAAAATATATTAGCTAAAAATCAAATTCATTTTTGTTTGAAAAATAATGCATAGAAACATTTATTTTTGACTTTATTTAAAGATACCATTTTTGTGTAATAAGAGCATGCTCAAATTACCCAGTGCTTTTCATTGAAATTGCTTAGTTTAAAGTCCTAAAATAGCAGTGGTTTTTAATTGCTTCTTGAATAAAAACAAAACATAGTAAAAAATTTTAATATATTAACAATACTAAATATTTTTCTGTAACTTAAATCTAAAAAATTTTAATTTTTATTGTTCAAAGGTTTGAGTTAACAAAATTGAAAAAACAATGTATTAATTTTTTTTTTTTTTTTGGCGGAAAACATAGTAGTATTGTTTCAACAAAATGTAACTTAAAATTTGATCTTTTAATGATATGTTTTGTTAATCACGAATCCTTATATTCCAACAATTAGTTCTATTAAGCAGGTTGGTCTTTTTTTACTTAATTAATGCTATTTTTTTGAGCTAATTTAAAGTGCTTATATTACCAAGGGGTCAGGGTAATACGAGCACTTTTGCTACTTTTTTAAAACCTCTGTGTTTTTAAGAAAAAATGTCAAGTGCCCAAATATCTAAATAGATTATGAATAGGGATCCCTAAAAATTGTTTTTTTGCAAAAAATTTGAATCCAGCATATTTATTTTTGAAAATATTCCAATTTTTGCTTAAGGTGCTTATATTACCCTAATCTACCCTATATATATATATATATATATATATATATATATATATATATATATATATATATATATATATATATATATATATATATATATATATATATATATATATATATATATATATATATATATATATATATATATATATGTATTATATATATTTAATTTAATTTAGCTTATACTAATAATTTAAAAATTATCAGATAACTATGAAGCTGATCAGAATTTTAAACAGACTATACCTAAGCCACTATCAATACGTTGGTGTAAAAATCTAAACACAATCAGTTTGGCGTGGATATGGGCCATAAGACATCAAAGTAACACATACTCTTATAATGTCACCCCACTGGCGTGGTTTAAAATTAAAAAACCCCTAAAGATGACACTGATCATATCCACAATACAAATGATACTGTATCAATGATATGTCGATACGGTAAATTTACCGAATCGACATACAATTTATACAGTGTCAATTGTATTGTGGATACAATCAGTGAGATCGCTAGAGGTTTGGTAATTTTGAATTGTTTATAAACAGTATTGTTTAAAAAATAATTATTTCACTTTTGCATATTTTTTTTTAAGCTAAAAAATGCTATCAAAAAACTACAACTATATAAGTATCATATGTATATTAATAATTATTTTTATATGATATAATTTTTTGTATATGATATAATTAAGAAATCAAAATACTAATAAAAAAATAAATTTTCTTTGACTATTGTCAAGCAAACACAAAAGCCGTGCTTTTGTAAGTTTTTTAATTTTTAATTAAAAAAAAAATTGTATTTCCTCTCGAAAAAAGCATTGTTTGATCAATTTTATATGTTGATGTATTTATCTAATGATTAAGTTTCAGGAAAAAAGATTATAAAAAAAAGTTCAACTTTTTATTGGTCTCAACATACATCTTAAACATGCATTTCGAACTGTAATTGAGATCACTGCATCAAAATATAATAAAGGAGATAAATTAATTTAAAAAAAAAATCGCAATTGAAGGATTTTTAACAAAGACCTTACTTTCAAATAATCACGAAAACCTTAAAAGTAAAACAAAAAATCCTACATAGTAAACAATACTGTTATAATTAAATTCTATACAGCATATTTATACAAACAACGAATACAACTCGTGTCGCTACATCAAAAATTTCTCTTTTAACGACAAACTTTTCATCATACAGTGTCTCTACTCTAGTTTAAAGCATTCATGTTATAGATATTTAGTTTTACATACATTCATGTTACACATATTCGTGTTACACATATTTAAAGCATTCATGATATATTTTAATTTAAATTTTTCATTTTAATTAATCATATTTTATTTTTATCTTAATTTTTAAAGTTCTAACATTAAGTATCAAACTCATTTTAAACTGCGCGCGTTAAAGCACAATTTAATTAAAAAATTAAAAAAATTTGCATACTCTTATTTGTGCAAGATTTTTCACCTAATTTTCCGCGCAATGCACTTTTGTAGTAAATTAATAACTTTTGTTAAAATAAAACTAGATAACAGGCTGCGTCGGAACATAATTTGTATTTGGGCAATCAATTAACCAAATGAAAAAAAAATTATAAAAAAACAACAACTGATTTTTAGGTTATTTATAAATTGATTTGTATTGCGCACATTTTTTTTTAAACAAAGCGAAGGGAAAACTTTGAAACTTTGTTTGGACTCTTGCAAATGTATCAGCTGTTATCTAATAAAAAAAGATGTTATATGTTTATCAAATTAGAGAGAAACTTTTTATTAAAAAGAGAATCTTTAAGTATTTCAGGATGATTCCTTATTAAAAGAAAATTCCTAGTTTTACTCAAATATAACTATTTCGAGATTTAGTACAAATTATTTTATCAATTATTTTATCAGAAATTATTTTATCAAGTCTCAAGACACAGTTGTTTTTATTTATATCTTGAACGCGAAAAATTAAATCGTATAAAATGATAATTCCCTAATAAAGATATCACCTTAGTATTTACTTAAGACCTAATTTCAGTGCGCACAAATATTATTTTTAAAATAACTAATACTTTTAAAGAACATAATTTTAAAACAATGAAAACACGCTTTTTGAGACTTTTGTTGAATATTATTTACAAAGAAATCCTGATTGCAAAACTTGTTTATGAGTTTCTACTTTTATAACTTTTCAATATAGAATATTTTAACGACTAGTAGAATTCGTTTAAAACAAAATAAAATGTAAAACTCGGATAATGCTGTACAGTTTAAAGATGTAAAAAAAAAAAGTTTGTTGATTTTCGTGCAATTAACTTTTAAATATTTGTCAAAAGTGGAACTTTTTTTCGTCTTCTAGAAGATCCTAAGAAAGTGGTTAGAAATGCTTAAATATTACATAATCAGCACTTCTATTTTGGTATTCGCTCCTATGAAAGGTAAACCAATATTCATTTTAGATTTGATAGGATGTGTTATAAAAAGAAACAAATTGTTTTTATTATTTTTTTATTGTTTTACATTAAACTTCAATACACACATATGTATAGATGTATATATATATATATATATATATATATATATATATATATATATATATATATATATATATATATATATATATATATATATATATATATATATATATATATATATATATATATATATATATATATATATATATATATATATATATATATATATATATATATATATATATATATATATATATATATATATATATATATATATATATATATATATATATATATATATATATATATATATATATATATATATATATATATATATATATATATATATATATTGATAACTGTTTGATTTTTATTATTGGCGATTAACGCCACCCCTATTTCTTTGCTTAAATATCAAATTTTTGGTCAAAAGTGAATTTCCTAACAATCCAAAATAATACTTATCTTTTTTGTGTTTTTTTTTTTAAGTATATCATTTAATTTTCTCCTGAGGATATCTTTTTAAAAATGTTGTCATTGAAAAATATTTAATCTCGCCGCAAAACCAATAAATGATCTGTGATTTTTCCCACTCTGAAATTGAGACAAATTTTGCTATGCTTTAAACTTCGGTTAAACAATGTATTTTATTTATCTAACTGATGGACCCAAGTTTATTAGTTAGATAAATAAAATAGATTGATTAACTTGAATTTAAATCGAACTTTTTGTAAATACTATACTGCAATCGAACGATTAAATAGAAAAGTTTTTTTCGAAATACGCGCTAAAGCTTAAGAGTTTTAAGTGTTTAATCGAATCGTAGGCAAAAGAAATAAACTTAATATGTCTACGTTCTAAAAAAAAAAGTTCAAAATTGATGTAATCAATTTTGTTATTATTTTATAGCTATAATATTTGTAAATATGTGAAAATAAAATATCTAAAACCCTTATCTACATCCAGCACCATGGCACCAGGCTTTTCTGCTTCCATATTAATGGCGGACTTGAGTTTGGTCAAGTGCCCTTCTGAAAGTTTGAGGATATCTTCAAAATATTTTTGAAAACAAAGCCTGATTGAAATTGAACAAAACCTTAGGAATAGGTTTTGGTGAGATTCTGCCTAAAACTTGTATATAAATAAACTAAAAACAGAGCCGGATAATAGCGTAATGGAACCCTATGCCAGTCTCTGTCGTCGGCCCTTGTTGCGGGGACGAACGAATCGCACAGATTATCATATAATTTTAAATTTAATAAAATTTGAAAACTTTCTCAACTCAATGCTAATGTATCTATAAGTTATTTCGATAAACAGGTAGATGTTAAAATAGCAGCGAAATTTCAATTCATTCAATATGATGTAAGAAATAATTTGAATAAATAAAAAATGAAATGAAGAATTTACTTTACATTTAATTACAATAGGAAATCAATAAAAAATAGAATAAACAATTTGAAAACCGAGTTTATAAGATTTTCTAATTATTTTAAATTTGTAATTATAATTTGATTTTTTTTTATAATAAAAGTAATTTTCTCAAATCTCCAAAGAGTAAAGCAATTTTTTTTTTATTATTTATATGTAGCTTGTGTAAGTGTAATGCATAAATAATATAGAAAAATTTGAAAACCGAGTTTATAAGATTTTTAATTATAATAAATTGGATTTTCTATTTTACAATAAAAGTAAATTTCTCAAATTTCCAAATAATAAAGTTTTTAAATTTTTTACATATTTATACTTTTCATTTAACCTGTATAAATATTTGTAAAAAGGAATTATAAATAAACATATTACGGAATACAAAAGAAACAAAAAAAAAAAAGATATAAACTATACACATTCTTTTTGTAGGTATATTAACCCAGTGTCCAACAAAGCAAACATTGGAAAACGGCTACATTTTTCACATAAGTCCAAATCTTGTTAGATATAGCTGCAAAAAAGGGTACGAGATATATGGTCCATATTATCATAAATGTAACAAAACCACTCATCTTTGGAAACCTGATGCAAAAACAGCATGTCACGGTAAGACTTTTTTTTTAAATGTAGTTTGAAGTTATCATTAAAAACGTAAACTTTCCTGGTCGTATTAAACATATATGTTCCTGATCGTTATGAACATCCATTCAAATATGACTAATTCGATCTTACAGATGCCATTTTCTCCGCCATTTTTTAAATATTGACAAATATGAAATAAGTATTTAAAAAAGTTATTTATTTATTAAAATATGCTTTTAGTGTCCATTACACTTAGCGTATCCTAACTTTTGATCTATCTAACATTAACACACTTAGCGTACCATCACTTTTGATCTATCGAACATTAATAGGTGGCCGTGGTGCAGTGGTTAGAGCGCTCGCTTTAGAAGCAGGTAACTCAAGTTCGAAACGATCTCTCGACATATTTTCGCGTCACGGTAAGGAAGGAGGCGTGAACTTCCTAGTTAAATGCACTTCCGCGGTACTCTGTGACAAGACCATTAGGTTCTTCTTGGAGCACCTAAATAACCAAATTTATAAAAAAAAAATTAAATTAAAAAAAAAAAAAATAGTAATCAACTGCCCTTACCACATATTTAATTAATTTGTATCTTGTGCTAGTTTTAATCAAACAAACATAAAAAAATTCAAATAAAACATAAAAAAATGACTTTTCATTTAAAAGCGGGATTTTTTCTATGCATCCTCCCTAAATTTTTTCATTGTTATCAAGTTCAGAATAAATAATCAAATTATATGTTCGTGTCAAAGAATTTTATTTAAAAATGTTATTTCGATAAATTTGATCATTTGATATGAGAAAATTTCTTAAACCTTACTACAATAAAATTTTTCTTAGATTATTTTACTTCAAGTAATTTTTAATAAAATTAAATAAGTAAATTACAATTTACACAAGTTATAATAAATTATATTTTTAAGTAACAAATAAATATCGGAAATAATGCGCAAAACGAGTACTTCTTTATTATACTGTCTAATCGTGATTTAAAATAAACTTTAGAGTTAAATCTCACAACTAAGAAAAATAAACTTTAGAGTTAAATCTCACAACTAAGAAAAAAATCTTAATTATCTACTTTATTAAGTTTTCAACTTTTATGTGAATATTATGAAGAGGATCTTCATACATTTTGCATAAAAGATTATCTGAATTATCATCCTCTTCATAACATTCACCTAAAAAATCATCTGACTTATCATCCTCTTTATAACATTCATCTAAAAAATTTTCATTCTTTTTATAATTTTCACCATATAAATATATAACTTATAATTTTCACCTTCTCCAACTCGATAACTCCAAAACACAAACCTTGACGAACAAGGCTGCTGCGCGGAGAAACAAGTTGAGCGCGGTACTACCAGGGACGTGATGGGGATCGAACTTTTCGCATTACTACCGCATTATAATAAAGTATACAAATTAGAGGAAAATAAGAAAAAATTGGAGGAAAAAATGATGGAAAAATAACTGTGTTAAGACACAAAATAAGTAGCGAAGGTAAGTGATTACTGATATTGCAAGTGGTATCGGAACTGCTTTAGAGGTCATCTTTCAAAAATAATTTATTATTTCCTTAGTAAAATTATTAAATTTATCATTTACCTAGTAAGACTATTAATTAAAAATAATAAAAATTTAACTTCTATAATTTAAAATATTTGTTGGAATTTTTGTCATTGTAAGTTATGGTTGCATTGATAAAGTTTTTTTTCAAATCGTTTCCATTTTATTTTTTTTATTCCATTTTATTTTATCAGCAAAAAGGAACTTAAGTTTACATCTTGAAAGGATCAATTGTGTTTTTCATTTAAAATTCAACTGCATTTTTAAAGAGTCATGTAGTGTTTTGATATGTTCCAGATGTATTTTTTATGATTCAAATATTGTTAGTTTTAAGAGTCAGGCGTGTTTTGGTATGTTCCAGATGTGTTAATAAAATCTAGATATTGTTAGTTTTAAGAGTCAGGTAGTGTTTTGGTATATTTCAGATATTGTTAGTTTTAGATTTTATTTGCCATGTTAAGATATGGTGGCATGTGACAAAATCTGTTTGGTGATTATCTATCATTAACGTTTTTACAAGTAATACAATATGATAAGCATTCACCTAAAACAATAAAATTTGCAGGTTCCTGGTATTTATACGCATATGATGTAGCTGGACACGTGACTATTGAGGTCTTTATAAAAAAGAAGCAATAGGTGGTTTTTGCATTAGATAAATCTATAAAAACTATAAATCACAATTATTAAAGAAAGTTTAATCAATTCCATTATTAATCATTTTATGTTTGACATTAGGGTAGGTTAGGGTAATATGAACACCTTAAGCGAAAATTGGAATATTTTCAAAAATAGTTATGCTGGATCCAAAATTTTTGCGAATAAACAACTTTTAAAGATCCTTACTCATGATCCACTTAGATATTTGGGCACCTGAAATTTTTTCTTAAAAAATCAGCGGTTTTAAAAAAGTAGTAAAAGTCCTCATATTACCCAGACCACTTGGGAATATGAATTTAGGAATATAGCAATTTAGCAAATTAGGTCAAGAAAATAACATTAATTAAGTGAAAAAACACCTCACAATTAGAACTTATTTTTGTAGTATAATGAATTGTAGTAAAAATTTTGAACCATTTTTTATTGAAACAATACTGTTTACAATACTGTTTTTTTTTTTTTTTTTTTAAAAAAAAAAAAAAATAGTTTGTTATTTTTTCAATTTTATTAACTCAAACCTTTGAACGATAAAAATTCAGATTTTTTGAATTTAAATTATAGAAAAATATTTAGTATTTTTAAAACATTAAAATTTTTTACTATGTTTTGCTTTTATTCAAAAGCAATTAAAACCACTGCTGTTTTAGGACTGTCACTGCTATTTTAGGACTTTAACTAGGTAATTTCGATGAAAAACACTGGTAATTTGAGCATGTTCATATTACACAAAAATAGCATCTTTAAACAAAGTTAAAACTAAATGTTTCTATATTGTTTTTCGAACAAAAATGGATTGGATTTTTAGCTAAAATATATTTCTTTATGAAAAAATTAATTTCATTATTTTAGCACCAAAAATTCGCGCCACAGTTTTATTCATGCGTGATTAGGGTTGTTCGCCGAAAAACAAAACTTGCGAAAATTTCGCATCTTTATCTACCGTAATAGAATTGTTATTGCGGAAGTTGCACATGCAAAAATGCAAATTCCGTAACGCGCTTTACGAAAATATAAATAAATAAAATTCCGTAATAAAGCATTGCGAAAGAAAATTTACGAAACAAATCATTTCGAAAGAATACTTACGAAATAGTTCCTTACGGAAAAAGCATTCCGGAATGTGCAGTTACGAAAAAGACGCAAAAGATTTTAGGTTACGATATATTTAAGATAATAACTGTTAACAGTTTAAATAATAAATAATAAAATTATAAAAAAATGTTGTCAAATGATTCTTCAAATTTATATATATTATATATATATAATATATATAATATATATATATATATATATATATATATATATATATATATATATATATATATATATATATATATATATATATATATATATATTTATATATATATATATATATATATATATATATATTTATATATATATATATTGTATATATAGTAGGTATATTTGTTTATACAAATATACCTAATATATATACACACACATTGTATATATATTAGGTATATTTGTATACCTAATATATATACAATGTATATATATTAGGTATACAAATACCTAATATATAGGTATTTGTATACCTAAATTGTGATAAACAATTAAATACTTTATTATAAAAAACGAGAGATCTCTCTAAAGGTAAATGATATCAGAAAGAGTAAAAAGAGAAGAAATATATGTGAAACAGCGAGATGTGAACCTGGGTCTACGCGGCCAAATGTCTTAACTGAATGAGCTATACGTTTATTCAACTAAATGAATAGTAATATTTATTTATTATATAATTAAGAAACTATATAAAACAGAATTTACAGAAAGAGATACGTATGCAAATAGGATTCTATATATCAGGTAAATGAATAGTAATGTGAACCTTTAGTTGCTTATAATTAATATCTGGACTCAAAAACTAGTTACTTTTAATGGAGCACAATAGGCTGTAGGAGCCTCAGGGAAATTATATTCAGAAATGATTATATTAGACTCAGAGTTAGCTAGAAATTATTACAAAGTGTTTAGGACAGATGTCTAGTACAAAAAGCACAAGATTTAAAGCAAAATGATTTATATTATTTGAAAAAGTTGTTTTACGTATATTTCATCATAATTTAAGTAGAACTTAGTAAAGCAAGGGAAACGTGTAGAATTAAGCACAATGAACTCAATCTTAAAAGAATAACTAACAGAAGAGAGGTTGTCACTATTATGAAGGTGACGAAAGATCTGTAATATAGAACATGGAGGTCAAAAAATGCTATCTTAAGTAAAAAGAGTTTGATGAACAAAAGTTACAATGGCTGCGGGATGCGAACCCGGATCTCTGCGGCGAATTATCACGTATCTAACTGATTGAACTATACAATCTTATACTCAAACTTATATCTTATTAAAATTAAAAAACAATATTTTCTAAGATCTATACTTCGAAAAGCGTATTCAAACAGGACTCTACATACCTTTAAAATCTGCTAGAACTTTACACTTTTAGAAATTATTGAAATAGGTATATTTTATCAGAAATATGCTTAAGCTAAAGCATATTTTTGAGCCTCTTTTTACTATTTGCTTAAGCATATTTGAACCTGTTTCAAAAATTTTATATGCTTTAAAAAAACAAAACATGTATATTCCTACCTATCATTCTTATTTTTAATATACGTAATGAGTTCAAAAAACATCGTTATATATATTTATTATGGCACGTTTCGTAAGTTTATTTCCGTTAAGAATTCTTTCGTATGTTGTGATCCGAAATACTTTCGTTTCGAAAGAAATTTTATTTTTTATCAATATTTCTAAAAATAAAACCATAAAAATTTAATATGTTATTAAACTGAAAATAAAAATTCATTATAAACATTTTGGGATTTAAAGATGTTAATTTTTACAATTAAAATCAGTCTGGCAAACAAATTTTCTTTATAGACTTCAAAACGTCGTTTGGCGAAAATGTTTGTTTCGCAAGTGCGACTTCCGAAACCGCTACTTTCGTATGTTGCGAAATAGTTTTGTTTCGTATGTAAACTTGCGAAATGCTAAATTTCGGAATTGGCTTTTGCGAAATGTACATCGGCGATTTTAAACGTTTTGTAACATTCGGTACGAAAAAATGTAATTCCGTGTTCTCAATCTCCTTACGAAAGAATGTTGTTTTTCCGGAATTGCACGAAATCCTCCGGTTAACAACCCTAATTAAAACTTAACTATTTAATCATGACTTTTTTTTACTTGAAAATCGAAGTAGATATGCTAAAGTTGTTGTGACGTACTAACGTGATTTTTAACGACTAACAATCGAGTTTCAATGGTGAAAAAATAAAATCAAAATGGAGTTGTTTTTTAGTGATTTCGGCAATTGCTTTTTGTTAGCATGCATTTATTATAACAATTTAGTAAAAAAGAAAAAAAACTTACATATTTTTTTTTTATGCTCTTTCATATGAGATTATATGTTAGGAGCACTTAGGATCCCTTTAATATAAGCACATGTAGTATGTTAGTGTACATGTAGTATGCCATGTTTAAATTGAATATTTGTACCGTTCATCAAATAATGTTATAATTCAATTTTAGATTTAAATGAATGCACTGCGTATAAACTTGGTTTTCCTTGCCACCAAAATGCATTATGTGAAAATACTATTGGAAGTTTTAATTGTTATTGCCGTCACGGGTATGTCGGAAACGGAAAACACTGCGATCGAATTAACGCCAGCAACTTTGACAGTATGATTTTTTTTGTTTGTTTGAAATATTTTTTTTTTCTATAGTTATGCTTTTATAAGTTGTAATAATATACAATAAAACTATTTCAGATTTCCTGAATGATGCAAAGGATTGTGGTATTTCAAGTGATCATAAAAACACTTCAAATCATAGAGTAAGACGTATTGTAGGTGGACAAGATTCAAGTCCAGGACAATGGCCTTGGATAGTTTTAATTATTGTTAATAAAGGTATTTTATTCCGATATACGACCATCGTTCTGCTTTTCTACCAAAGTCTGTCATTCTTGCCACCATTTCTTATTTCTAATATTACAATTCATGTCATTTTAATTTTAACCTAAATTTAATTAATGTATTCTAGAGCCAGCAACAATCTTCAGTGGAGTACTTGTAAAGCCTGACATGGTTCTTACTTTAGCAAGCTTGTTACACGATCCTTTTGGAAAAAGAATCGACGCAGAAGATATTTTTGTATCCTTAGGTAACAATCTTTTATTTTTAAAGTTATCGGAATGAAAAATCGGTGAAAAGTTCCGGTGTATCGGAAATTGCCGGTGCTTTAAGAATATCAGTGCGATAAAGGTAGAAGTGCGTTAAAAGTTACCGTGAAAATTTTTTTTTCTACTTTTATAAATAGTAGATGATTTATTTGAAAAAAAAAGGCGCAAAAGAAACAATTAAACTATTAAGAATAGCTCAAAACAACTAAAACTACGCATTTAATACCTACACAAACCTAATAACTTTGGATATTAAAATCAAAATGCAACATGAAGGTTAAACTTTATTAATTTAAATAAAATTTCTCTATTTTTAGGAGAAAATGATCGAAACAAACCAGAAAATAACGAACAACAGTTTCAAATTCAAACGGGAGATATTTATATACACCCTGAATTTAACCGCACAATTTTAAACAATGATATCGCTATTATTAAATTACCGGCAAAAGCAAAAATCACTCCATATGTCACTCCGGTGAGTCAATTTTCTCAAAAATTTATATATCCTGTGGAACCAAACATCTTTTACACCCACTGGAAAGTATTTGGCAAAGGGTGGGTAGGTTTATAAAGTTTTGCTAAAAAAAAAACCCTAATTTTTATATGTAAATTGACGAGCAGTGGTTTATGTAAAATACTGTTTAAAAAAATTAGTTTATGACTATAAGACAATGTTTTATATCATGGTATTATTTTATAGTTTTTAAAAAAACGGTGTTTTTCTATATATATATTTTTTTAATATGTCGATTGATTTGACATTTAGTAACTGATAGTAACCATAAATAATTGGTAGATTATTTTGATTTTAAAACTGTTTTTGACAAATAAACCACAGAAAGCCGATCGAACTTTCGAAAGCCGATCGAGAGTTCGATCGAATTTAAATTGATTATAATATTAATCAGTTTAAATTCGTTATTAATAACATGCTCAAATCAAATTCGTTATTAATAACATGCTCAAATCAAATTCGTTATTAATAACATGCTCAAATCAAATTCGTTATTAATAACATGCTCAAATCAAATTCGTTATTAACAACGTGCTCAAATCAAATTCATTATTAATAACATGCTCAAATCAAATTCGTTATTAATAACATGCTCAAATCAAATTCGTTATTAATAACTTGCTCAAATCAAATTCGTTATTAATAACGTGCTCAAATCAAATTATTATAGAAAATCGTTTTTAATAACGTGCTCAAATCAAATTAATATAGAAAATCGTTTTACTTTCTGCACCTAAGAAGCAAAAAACACTAAAATTAATTACGCTTTATTTAAATTGATTAAAAAGAAAAAAATTAAAAATTGAATTCTATTTTTATTATGTTTTACCATTTTTTATTTTTTTTAATTATTATATTATATTTTATATTATAATTATACCATTATTTATGTCAATAAATATAATTATATTTATTGAAATATTTAATCGTAATTGTACATGATTTTGAAAGGTTTGTTTGCAGGGGCGGATCCAGCATTTTTTGGTGTTTGAGATAGCTAACTTCCAGACATGGAGCAAACTCCAAACATTTATATGTTTATACTTATATCAAATAAGGATGGTTTGCAAAAAATTGCGATGATTGGAGCCTGGGAACAAAAAAGCCCCAAAATTTGAGACGTACCTGCCCCAAACGTGAGAGCAACAAGTTGATAAAATATTTTTTGTACTATTCTCAACAAGACTTACATTTATCCATAAATTTTAAATTTCATTGTAAAATATTTCAGTGTTCAAAAATTATGACCATGTAAAGTTTGAATCCCCCTCAATTCGAGGGGGTTACAATTTTTATATGGTCATAATTTTTGAGCGCTAACATATTTTACAATGGAATTTAAAATTTATTGATAAATATAAGTCTTGTTGAGAATAGTACAAAAAATATTTTATCAACTTGTTGCTCTCACGTTTGGGGCAGGTACGTCTCAAATTTTGGGGCTTTTTTGTTCCCAGGCTCCAATCGTCGCAATTTTTTGCAAACCATCCTTATTTGATATAAGTATAAACATATAAATGTTTGGAGTTTGCTCCATGTCTGGAAGTTAGCTATCTCAAACACCAAAAAATGCTGGATCCGCCCCTGTGTTTGTATAAAATTTTTCTCTGAAAGAAAATATTTGTAGAACTGTAATATTTTTTTAAATTGTAAATAACTCTTTTTTTTAGATTTGCCTCGCTCAGCCTAAAGTTATTCGAAAATTAGAGACAATAAATTCTCTAGCCACTATTACTGGATGGGGTGTGCGAACACCGCGTAAATTAAATGATATCGAATTGAAAATACAGACTTTATTTTCTGGTGTTTTGCAACATGCAGAGCTCCCTTTAGTTAATAATCATAAATGTCGCAATGCAACACCATATTATTTTAATATAAAAACAATGTTGTGTGCTGGTACATCAAAAAATGAAAACGCGCCTTGTTTTGGAGATGGTGGTTCTCCTTTGATGATGAAAAATCCAAAAACCAAGAGATGGTTTTTAATTGGTTTATTTAGCTGGTCAGAAGGATGCGCCCAGCCTCGAAGTTATAGCTACTTTACTGCAGTTGCCAAATACAGACACTGGATAAGCGAAATAGCTTATAAAAATACAGTTAAATAGACAAATACAAAATAAAAATATGTTTCTCAATCACAACTTTTGAATTGTTAAAACAAAATAGTCATAGAACTATTTATATAAAATCAAAAGAAAAATAGATTTTGCGTTAAAAGAAAAAATTTGATATTGGACAAAGTTGTAAAACCTTAGAATGACTTATATCTCAATCCTAAAGATTTTAATAATGCAATGAAGGTAAAGTAACAAATGCAGTGATAACACAAATTAACGAGAGTGTTTTTTTTTATAGTTTTAAAGTCAATAGAATAATACGTGTTTATGTTGAAACATAAAATTCTAATGACAATTTAATTTTGATCTATTTATTTGATGACCAACGTTGTTCTGTTCAGGGAACGTTTTATTTAGGCGGAATTAAGGAGAGAGGTTCAACTCTTAGTTTGTTGTCTCATTTCGCCTTTATTTAAAAGTAGTAGTATTTTTGTTCAAGATATGTATCCAGGTATGTTACAAACGTTTGTGCGATGAAAACAATATAAAAATGGTTTGCAAAAAATCACTGTGATTGAGCATAAATCTTTTTAAAAGCCTTTATTTATCAGACATTTATCTTCACACAAGTTTGGAGATTTGGTCATGCTTATAAGTTAGCTAACTTGTGCACCGATTCATAAGTGTGTTAATTTTTTTTGAAGCTTAAGAATTACTCAGCGTATTTAAGGTAGCTTTCAAGAAATTGTCGCTAGTCAGTTGAAACATTTCCAGGATTTATCTGGTCTACATTATAAACCGTCAGAGAGTTAATAGGGAAAACATGTTTGTTTGCGAATCATTTAAAAATTATTTAAAAACATAAAATGGCTATCAAGATACTCTTAATACTAATTCCGGTATATTTTAAAATGTTAACTTCAACTAAAATTTCCGGTATATTTTAAAATGTTAACTCCAACTAAAATTTCCGGTATATTTTAAAATGGTAACTCCAACTTTCCGGAGCTGTGAAATCTCAAGTTCTTAAATACTAAATTTTATTAGATTTATATGGAGTTTTTATTTCTTTGCAAAAAATATAAAAAAACTTCTCTTTAAATATTTTTGCAAATCATTGAAACCCACCTCAATTTTTTAATAATAAAAAAAATTCAAGCCTAAATTATAGTTATTATAATCATATAGGTATTATAATCAAAGAGTGCACTGTTTTGCCTTTTATTATAGTTGACGGATAACAAAGAGGCAGCTCATTTTATTATTTTATTTATTTAAATTGTCCTTGTGAATTGCATAACAAATAAAAAAAGTAAAAAGAAAAAGCGGAAGTTTTAAATGCTTAAACAACATACGGTTAATCTACGAAAAAAAACTAATTTTTGAGATTTTATTTCAATATTGACAAATTTACATAGTCATTGACGTCATTAAGAATTATAAATGTATTTGAATACAATAACAGCTAAAAACTTCTGATAACTGGTTTACACGTGTTATTAGCTGAAGAAGTACGTTGAGTTGAGTACTTGACGAACGTCAAATGTACCTGTAGAGAGATATTGTAAATATAGTTCACAAAATCTGTATTTGTGTGTATGCATATATATATATATATATATATATATATATATATATATATATATATATATATATATATATATATACATATATATATATATATATATACATATATATATATATATATATATATATATATATATATATATATATATATATATACATATATGTATGTATGTATGTATGTATGTATGTATGTATGTATGTATGTATGTATGTGTGTATGTGTGTATGTATGTATGTATGTATGTATGTATGTATGTATGTATGTATATATATATATATACATTAGGGTGTCTCAAACAAAAAATTTTTTTGCACGCATGTTTTTTGCATTCCCTTATGTTAAAGATTTGCGATAAAGTGTGAGTCCTGTTGTGGCAGTATTTAAACTTTATGACACAATTCACTTATGTCCTCAATAGCTTTTGTTCTGGAATAATTTATTTATTTCATTATTACTGATGTATCTCCATTAAAGTCAAATTTATATATTAAATATTGTATTTCAAAAAAACTTTGATTTATATTCATCTAGGAATGAGTTTTCCTTAAATCAGACAGATTATTTTCGATCACAGTCATGTATTATGCTGATTGAGTTAATGTTAAGCTGGTCTCAATGCAAAAGCATTGAAAAAAAAAAAAAAGAAATCATAAGTTTGAAAAAATGTTGCCAATGTTTATATCCCTGCTAAATTAAATGCACCAATTAAATTTACATCTCCTGAAGCTTTGAAGCTTGCATTACAGAATGTTAAAGCTTACATTAGAGAGTCTGAAGCTTAGATTACAGAGTGTTTGTTTGGAAAATAAAGGAATTAGCTTTGATGAAGCAGGAGATTAAAAACTCATTACTAGCTATAAGTAAAGGTATTGAAATTGTTCAAATAATGGCAGGAGCTGATAAAAGCAAAATTTCTTCATTTATGAGCCTGGTTTGGGAAGAGCAGCAAAAATATTTAAAAAGCTCAAAGCAAAGCATTGTCTAGCAATAACAGGGTTCGTAGCCACATATTTATAAAAATTTCCCTGACTTTTCCCTGACTTTTTTGAAAAATCAGATGAATTTCCCTGACCATTTTTAACATTGCAATGGTTTTTATAAAATGTTAAAAACTACTACTGTAATGAAATTTCTAAAATGTACATGCTTAGAATGAAAAAACTTATAAAACTTAGCTATTAGTTAAGTTGGATGTTAGTATAGATTTTATTATGCATATTAGTATGGATCTTATTATTAAGGATGACTAAGAATAAACAATAAGAAGTTTCAGATGAGCTTCTTAAAAAATCTAAATATTATGTACATAAAATATTTTATATATAATTATTTTTCACTAACAAAAAAAAAACTAAAACGTCTATGTAGATATCTTTCAACATTTTGAGCAATACTTGGTCTATAACAAAGACTACTTTGGGTTAGTCGTTTTTTATCACTATTTGTAGCTGTACCTTCGGTAATTCAATAATACCTCCAGATAAAAATAGCACAGTATAACAAAACATGCTTAGAAACATTAAAAAAAAAACTTTTAATTAATTTTAAATTGCATATATTTTTTAAGCAAAATCTTATATTGAAAATATAATTAAAGTTTTTTAATTAGCCATATTTGCATAAATGTCAACATAAATAATATTTTATATAAACAAACAAATTGTCAAAAAGCAACTATTGTTAATTCAGTTTCTTTCTCTTCTCTTCTAATATCAATAATGTTTCCTGCAACTTAGCTACGTCTTTCATTTTCTCCTCACTTTTCCTTTTTAAAGCATTCGCTTTGCTGACCAATGATAAATTGTTTTCTTTTTCCGCTTGTTCCACAGTTAAGACAAACTCTTTTTCTAGCATCAATGAAGTTTTTGTAAGGAAACCTATTTTAGATTTTAGCTCTTCAATTTCAGACAAAATAATGGCTTTCTGATCTAACATTGCATGTTTTTTATTCTTTGACTTCTCTTCCTCAAGCATGATCTGGTATTTTTGATGTGCAGATTTAAAGGCAACTTTCATTTCTGATGTAATCTGGACAGAGTGGGGGTTGAGGTTGTTGGTAAGCATGAAATCACGCACAAGACGCCATTTAACAATACCATCTGTTGATATATTATTAGTAACCACATCCTTATTGACACTAAACCCCCGTTCAACTAATGTCTGTCCATGACTCAGAGTCAAAACCAACTTAATGACAGATGACAACTCTGGATACTTTTTTATGTCAATGTTTTTGAAGTAAAAATCATCAAGACGTTTATTATTTCGATCATAACTAATGAAAACATCCTAATTCATAGCAAATTCTGATGAAATAAACTTTGAGAACTGGCTGATAACTTTGTCAGAATAAGAAGCAGTTAATATTCCAAGTGAAATAAGATGATGCAGCAATATTTTCATTTGATTCTTATTTTTTTCAGGTGTGATCTGAGCATAAAAATTTGGAAGCAAACAAGTACTTGTGTTAACAATCACGGAATCAAGGGGACACCTTTTAAATAACTTTTCAGCAGCTGAAATCAAAATGTGCATGCATTGAATTTTAAATTCTTTCATATCCTTCAAAATAACTGCATCATTTTTTCTGAGCTTTGACAGTGATAATTCAGCAGCAAACCCAATATCAATTTCACTGGGTTTTAAATGGTTCTTTTTATTTTGCAGATCAATTTTGGTAAGTTTTGAGGTAGCCTCAATAGTTTCAGATTTAATGAACATCCTAAGAATACACTAATCAACTGCACAAGATCACCATTCATGTGAGGCAACATTGGAGCGTCAGTCTGATAGAGCTTCAGAAACGGTCCAAACATGCTTGTCAGGTAGCTAAAAAACTGGAATTTTACAAGGGAAAGTTCTTTTTTAACAGCATTTACAACAAACTTATATGATTTGCAAGATGGTCGTTTACTTTTAGGCAGAGACTCCCAATAATTAACAATTTTTATAATAGATGGCCAAATGCTAATTAATCTATCCGCTACCTTTTTGTCTTCAACCCATCTGGTTGCGCAAAATGAAAGTGAGAACACAGAATCTTCAGTGATACTGATAGTCACTTCTTCTGGCAGGAGAATCATGAAATAAGGTAAAGCAGCTTTTAAATGTCTTTTTAAGTTCCCAATCAGTTGATTCTACTCCTGTTTTGAAAGCACCATGAATTATGTGTAGGGAACAGCAGCCTATGTCAATAAGTTTAGATAATTCGTGCTCTTCACGTTTGCTTTGAATGTCTCTGTGAAATTTCAAGTTGACACTGGGTCCATCCATAGAGACCTGAACAATATTGCTGATATTAATATTACTTATCTTTTCATTAAAATGATTTACCAAATCAAGACTAGTACTATGTCCCTTAAATGAGGAATTCCAATACCTCACTTCAACTTGTATTTTTTTCCTCATTCCAATACTGGATGAGTAAATCCATTTGACAAGTTTGAGTTTTTTTGTTGAGGGATTCATCAAAGGATACGACAAGCCAAGGAGACAGGCTCATTTGTTGTTTAAGTAAACCTTTAAAGGCCCAAGACCATGAGTGATGCTATATCCAACTTTATTTGGTCCTATTTGAAAAGATTTAGCAACCTCACTGTCAGGAAACATTGCTTGACACAAATTTGTCACATTTTTGTTTGAATTGTTAGAAATTCTATTTAAGCAACAATGCAATGCCCACATAATTTCTGCACAGATTTTATTAGAATTTGATACGACGAGTTCTAAAGATTGCTGCTTCATTTGTCCTGTTGAGAAACTATCAGTTATCTTTAAATTAGACTCTTCTACTGAATTAGGTGAACTAGTATTTTTAGAGGCAGATGATTTAAAAAAACAAAAAAAATTGCTTGCAACTGAAACATGTTTTTTTCCTTTCTCGTGACTTTTTATTGCTTGAATACCCATGTTTGAAAGTTTAATTATTTTATTGCATAATTTGCATTTTGCCTGGGTGTTATTTTTCCCTTTCATTAGCCAAGAGTCAAAATGAGGGTAAATGTCTTTATTTAACCATTCTTTTTTAAAATAAGTTTTTCTTTCTATTTTATTCATTATTTTAATTCTAAAAATGGAAACAAAATATTTCAAAATGATTTATATTTATAACATAGGGCACTGTAACAAATTTCATTGTATTAACTTTTAAAACCTTTTTTTTATTTTAAAAATTTATTTTCACAAGGATTTTAATCTAATAGTCATTGTAATGCTTATAGAAACCAATACTTTTTTAATAAAAACTTTCAAAAGTTTTCAACAAAGTTGAAAATCTTTGAAACTTTCTGTAACTTATGTAACTTAAAATAAAAAAAGAAGTTTTTCGCTTTAAAGACACAAAAATGTTTAAAGTTAAAGATGCTGTTGTTTATAGAATAAATTACAGAAATAGTTTTAAATGATTGAAATTGATCATAAAAAATTAGTTTTTTTTATAATAAATAAAAAAAAAGGAATTATTTTTTTTTTAATAAAGAAAAAAAAAGAAACATACACTATTACTGTAAAAATAAAATAATAACTATAGATAATTTAAATAAAATATTTTTATTGATTAATATTTTAAAACAATTGTTAGTAATAAGAGCGTTTTTGCCTAATAAAAATACATTAAAAAATATTCAAGTTTTAAAAAAGTTAAAAAGCCGTGGTCAAATTTTTAAAAATAAAATATTATATGCGTGGTAAAGGTGTGCCATCACATGCCTTCCTGTTAAACACTGTAGGGTATTTTTTTAATGTCAAAATAAATGGGAAGCACCAACAGAAACATAATAGCTTATTTGTAAAACGAGTAGTTTCTCAATCAGAATTCCCTGACTTTTCCCTGACTACCTAAAAAAAAAAAAAGTTTCCCTGATTTTTCCAGGTTTTCCATGACTTTAGCCAAATTTGGCTGATTTTCCAGGTTTTCCAGGTACAGTACAAACCCTGAATAATACGTTACTGTTTACGTTACT